AAAGTGCACCTAGAAAACATGTTTCACCCACCAGATTGTCAAAAGCATCCAAAGCTTGACCAAGTCTCTGGAAAATGGTAGGGGAAAGATGCTCATGCATAACTGGTGGCAGAGGGAAATGACAACCCTACAAGGGGTGCTGAACAGTCACAGTCACAGCCCCTTCACCCGGCATCTCCCCCTGTGGGAATTTAGGAGCACGCACATACTCGAAGTCAGTGCAGCCTTACAGGTAAAATAATGGGAACCACTTAATACACCCGGGCATGGGAGACGGGCTCAACAAACTGATGATGGACTTCAAAACAAATGAGGAAGATCTCTATAACATGAAGTTATTACTAGAATGTGGTTTGAGTCAGCTTTTTTGCTGCTGGGACTAAATGATCTGACCAGAACAATTTTAGGGGAGGAAAAGTTTTTTGAGGTCTCAGTGTCAGAGGTCTTAGTTCATAGGCAGCTGGCTTCATTCCTTGGGGCTCAAGATGAGATTGAACATCATGGTGGAAGAATATGGCAGAGGGAACCAGCTTACATAGTGATTAGGAAGCAGAGACAGAGGTCTCCACTTGACAGATACAAATATATACCCCGTAGCCATGCTCCCAGTGAAGACTTCCTCCAGCTACACCCCACCTGCCTCCAGCTACCACCCAGGTAATCCTATCAGGGATTAATTCACTGATGAGTTTAAGGCTATAACCACATTATTTCTTCTCTGAACCTTCTTGCATTGTCTCACATGTGAACTTTTGGGAGACACCACATCTAAACCATAACAGGTGTAGAAAAAGCAAAAGTGCAGAAGATAACAACAGTAGGCCACCTTTCTTTGTTAGTAGTAAAGAGGAAATTTAAAAAAAATCAGACATTTATCTGCTTTCCCCCACCCCCAAGAAGAAACACAGGAAGAATAAACCTGAAAATAAAAATGAGGAGGTTAGAATAGGGGACTGAGTAAAAGACACAGGAGAGGGACTATAGTATTTGACTTTCAGAATCATGTTAACATTCTTTTATTTAAAAAATGAAGTTAAATCAAGATTGCAAAACAAAATTCTTAAAACAGCAACAAACGTCATATTCAAATAAATAAACTCACCAAAAGAAGAGAAAGAAAATTTCAAGTTAACAAAATAACACTGGGTGTGGGGGAATACATTGTAAATGAATTGGAGCAAAGTCTTAAGTATTTTGTATGTATAAAAAAAAAACTTTCCATAAAAAGAAAATAAGCCTCAAGTTTATCTTATAAATTATTATAAATATAATGATTCTGAAAAATTGTTCTGAAAAATTTTAAGTATCTTTTAGAATTGAGGATGTTCTTCATAAATGTATTAATATTGGTGTTGTTGAGGCTTGTTACTGAAATATGGCTACACTGATATGAACTAAAGGAGGAAATCAAATCAAAACCCTATGTAGTTGGATTGGACTTGGAGCTAACCGTAAAAACTTGGGATTTGTAAGACACAGATGCCCACACACCCCTAGAATCTGTGTGACTCTGGTAGACTTAGAGAACACAGAGCCCAGATTTTGGTTTCTAAATCCCATTCCTAACTGAAAGGGACTGGGAATTCTAGAGCTGGAGAGAAGGGTGAAAGATAAGTCTGGAACATCTTATTCCAGAAATTAAATCTCAAAAAATTCTGGCATGTTAAGAAGACATAGGAACCAGCTTGCATGGGCTCCTGATGGCCAATTCCAAGACCATATGAACGACAAAATAGGTAGTCCATTGACTAAGAATCCTTGACTCTATGTGGATGATTGATTGTCATAGATGGGCAGGTAAATGGGGAAGAAGGGAAAGTGCTTATGTTAGAATTTTGATGAGGAATAATGGAGTTAAATAACACCATTTTGTAATCATTATAGCAAAAATTGATTCAAGCAAAAATGGATGCTTCACATAGAGGTAAAGTTTCATGAGAAATGGTATTTACATAGTCTTAAGGTATTTTTCACTGATTTTCTTATTAATTACAAAAGGAAGAATTATAACTGTAGACAGTGGATGAATTAGACAACACATCAATCATAAGCAGACACAGTGGCTTTTGGATGTTTACCCTCAGAAGGGAGGAGTATCACCTAGGCAGTATTTCAGTCAGAAATCTCTGAGTTTAATTATCAAAAAATAGAGGAGAGGGCTGGGGCTGTAGCTCAGTGATAGAGCACTTGCCTAGCACATGTGTAGCACTGGTTTTCGATCCTCAGCACCACATATAAATAAAATAAAGGTCCATTAACAACTAAGAAAATATTTTTTTTAAAAAAAAAGAAATAGAGGAGAAACCCAAATTGAGAGAGAGCCTATGAAACAACTCAAATGTTAGTAGCATGAAGCTGAAAACAGCTATTTTGTTAACCTTATATGTGACAGTTAATATTCTTTTTAGAAATTGAGGGGATATATGCTACCTGCTTTCAGATAATTCAGAAAGAGTATATGTGCATGTGCCTGTGAAAGGATAAGGGAGGAGAATGTAATAATGAAGCACATGTGGCGTAATGTTAAAAACTGTTGAATCTGAGTAAAGGATATATAAGAGTTGTTTATACTATTGTAATTTTTCTGTAGCTTTGAAATTATTTTTAAAAAAGTTAAATAAAGGAATCATAGTAGCTTCATTATAATTACTCCAAACTGGAAAAAATTTCTTTGGCATAAGATATAATTATGTCATCAAATATATTGCAATATATCTGTGATAAAATGGAACACAACGTTAGATGGATCTCACAGGTGAAGAAGCCAGATGGAGCAGTGTATGTTTTGTTTATGCGAAGATCTGTGCATCTCACTGTAGATCTCTAGTAATTCATTACTTAGAGTTTATTAAAAGGTCCTGTACCAGCAATTACAAAATCATCTTAATAATTGGAGGTGAGGACCTGCGGGTGGAGTTCAGCAGCAGAGCACGTGTTTATCATGTGCAATGCCCTGGGTCCAGTCCCTAGCACCACACCAAAATAAAACAGAGGTGAGGGAAATAGTTATTTTTCTTGTCAAGTTCTTCTGCAGCATGCTGCCTTGCTGTCCTTGATGGTTCACTTCCCAGGTCAGCTACAAAAGCTGATGGAGCTCATCTGTGGCTGAGGACAGCTCCGTGCCTGAGCAGGTAGCCACACAACAGGGTTACTGTGAGAACACATGCTGGGGGTACAGAAACACGTTGTCCTTTGCTATGGCAAAGGTTAATTCTTCCCCCCTGGCTGCCCTGCCTGCAGGCAGTAGGAACAGGAAGTCCTCAGTCTAAGACTCCTGAGCAGAATAAGAGCTGCTAAAATAGGCAGGCAGGGGATGATCTCTGAAAGGTAGAGGAGATGGAGAATTGATTCAGATTGCAGCCTGGTTCTGCATTTGTGGGAAGTGGTTTAGGAGTTAGGGTGAGTTAGAGTGCAAATCATAACAAACTGTAGCTAGAAGATAATTTAAAGGTATTGGACTGTTTGACAGATTGTATTTATTTCGTAAGGTTTCTATTGGCATAGCGGAAGCATTTATTAGGAATTTGTTTGATAAAGCAAAGTAGTTTGTACTTCAGATGATATTGAAAGGTAGAAGGAGAAAAGAATCAGGTTTTTAATGGCTTGGTTTGGGCAGATTCCATCACAGAGCTATTGAAATTTTTTTTAAAAATTATAATATGCTCAAAAGCTTAGTTCCTAAAGGACAAATAATAGAGAAATCAACAAATCTGCTACAGGATTATATAGGATTTTAAGATACAGCATGAGAAATTTTAATACTTATAAAACCTATTTTTACTTAAAAAATATTTTTTTCAGCCCATAAATATGTGATGATCCAAGTATTAAGAGCTTATTTTCCCCGAAAATAAAACAAATCATGGACAGATTGCCTGGAAAGCCTCAAAAGTCAACTTAATTCCTAATACCACCAAGTATTATTTCTTTAATACATTGAGTTTTAACTACCAACAATAATAGATTTGAAATCTTGTCTCTTGGCTCGTGCAGTTTGAAAATGGGGTTTTATCCTCTCCATTGAGGCTACAAGAGCAGGAGGACTTCCAGAGGCCTTTGTCATTAGGAGGAGCCGGTGACCAAGTGGGAAACTTAGGGTGGAGCCTACTCAAGGCTCTGTAACTGACCATTCCCCTGCCCTTATATCGATAGCGGCTTTGCCTGGAGGTTTCTAGAGGTTGATGAACATGCCGATTTTCAACTCCTCGGGTTCCTAGTATTATATAGAGCTTTTAGGAGGCTTTTAGGAGTGACAGGAGTTGTTTTGCTTCTCCCAAGTGCCTGCCTTTTGGCCTTCATACCTTGAGTTTTCAGTTAGCAGAATGTACAGTTCATCCTGTGTCCTCCTTGGCCTACCAAGTGGTGCCAAGGAATGCTGGGAAAAGTCACTGAGCTCCTTAGGAAAAGGTGTTCCTGGAGTGCTGCTGCTGGGATGGGACATAGCATGAACCTGCCCGACAGAGCATCGCTCCCTGTGTGATCGACATCTTCACCAGCCTTGGGATGTTCTCTTGCCCACTGTATCTACCTTCTTGACTTCATTTATCTCCTTTTCATTTTAAAGCAAGTCGTGTGTCAATTTAAAACATTCTTTGGGAATAATTCATATCATTCAATAAACACCTTATCAGCTGGGCTGTGAAGTGGACTTGTCAATGGTGACATATTCCTAATTGTGTTTGATTTTTAGTGGGTGGAAAAATTAACAATGAGAAACTTAACAATTTTTAACCTAAAAGAATGTATTTTGCAAACTTTCCTGGGGCATTTTGTCTGTGCTGCAGATCTCAGGCATATGTCATCTGGGGGTCTAAAGAGGCTGTATTTGTTCCTGAGCATCAGTGGCTTCTCATTTGAATGGTGCTTTTGAGTTGGCAGCAGGGCCGGGTTCAGATCATTTGTTGTTACTTACAGATAATGTTACAGCTTTACAGTGAGGTGCTTATCGATCTTCACAATTCTCATTTTTATTTCTCTTTTTTTCCTCTCCTTGTTTCCAGTTCTTCCTCCAGTGCTGGTTCCGAGACACAGCGAATATAACCCTCAGCACAGCCTCCTAGCTCAGTTCCGGAACCTGGGACAGAATGAGCCTCACATGCCACTCAACGCCACTTTTCCAGATTCTTTCCAGCAGCCCAACAGCCACCCGTTCCCTCATTCTCCCAACAGCAGTTACCCGAACTCTCCCGGAAGCAGCAGCAGCACCTATCCTCACTCTCCCACCAGCTCAGACCCGGGCAGCCCTTTCCAGATGCCAGGTAGGATGGAGTGGTCCCAGGGAGACCTGGGAGACCTGGCGGGAGGGGGCTTCACCGCAGCATCCGGGCCCAATCTCTGGTGCTTTGCAGTGCCACTCACAGAGGAAGGAGGTTCCAGCCAAGGAAGCAAATGTCTTGCTTTATTTGTCAGGCACAAATGCTCAAATAAACTGTTTTTCCTTTGTTTTAAAAAAGTTTTGAAACAGCTGCATCCTTCTGGGAGTGGCATAATTATTACAGTCTTTGCTCTTGATAAAAAAAAAAAAGAGAGAGAGAAATAGTGCATTACACACATTGCTGTCATGAAAAACAGTCTCGATTAACATCATTTCAGATGTGGAAAAACCCCTGTTGCCAGTGCAACTTCAGAAAAGATATTTCCTAAGGGATCACACCCTCCCTCCCTATTTAATTAAATTCATTTAAGTGGTGATGTAATCCCAAGAAACGTATACTTTAGCAACAAAGGAATTGCAGCAGAAGTACTGGAAACCATCTGCTTGTTTAACTTAGCAGAGACAAAAAACAATTATTTTCCTCTTTTAGACATAACTGATGGTGTAATGGTTATCAAAATAAATGATTAATTAGGACATTGTATCTTTCAAATTATAAATTAATAAACAAGCATCTCACACACAAAAAAAATTAATACCAAATTTCTTGCCAGTTGACCTCAAGAAGAATCAAAGGTACACTTGAAATCCATTAACATTTTGGAAAAGGAAAATGGGCAAACATGTCAAATTGAACATCAGTCCTGAACCTTCAAAAACTGAAAAATGAGCCATTGTGGTGGGTACCCACCCATAATTCCAGCTACTTGGAAGGCTGAGACAAGGGAATCACAAGTTCAAAGCCAGCCTCTACAACTTAGCAATATAAAAATGTTTGGGGATGTGACCCTGAGGTAAAGTGTCCCCTCATTCAATCTCCAGTACTGAAAAAAAAAAAAAAAAAAAGGAAAGTGTTTCATACTTCATATTGCCTACATTGCTTCCATTTTTATGTATTTGTTGCTCCCCGCTTTTAAGCCTGTTTATTTTGCTTTGTGGTTTTTCAATCCAAAACTTTGGGGACGAAGGTGGTGTGATAGTTTAAAGATCAAACTAATAACATTTGGTGATTCCCTGTCCACTCTGCTCCCTCAAAAACCTGTTGGGTTTGATGGACAGGTTAGTGGTAAGGAGATATATTTCAGAGCACTTTCAACAGTGGCACCCAGGGCGAGCCTGAAAGAAAACACTGAAGGTTATTGCCTGAATTTACACCTTGTCCTTGGCTGTCAGGGATTAAGGCACAGGCCAAGTAGAGGAAATGCAGGAAGAAGAAAGGAGGAGTAGTAGACCACCAGCAATAACAAACTGCTCCCTCCTAGCCATGCTGATGCTGCAGGTTGCCAGTGAAATTGTCACCAACTTGATAGCAGAAATTCAAAGGATTCAGGCTCAGAGGAGGCTGTCTTCAGTCCTGGCTTGAGGTAAAACAGAGTCAGCCATAAAGCTACAGGGAAGAAGCTAATTTTAAAAGAGAAGTTGAAAGGTGGGGAAAGGCATCCAGCTGCAACCCCTTAATCCTGTGTCCGGACTTTGAGTCACAGCTTTTCAGCAGCTGGATGGTGGAAGCATTGGGCTGATCAACTGGAGCATCAGTAGAATCCCCAAGAACCCCTGAAGGAGCAGTGCTGGTTATTTGTGTGGGAGAGTTGCCCTGAGTACTTCTCCAAGCATGCATGGTTCCCTAAGGTCAAAGTTTGTTCCCAAGGCTCTGTCATGGGTGCTAGGTGGTGGGCTCCCAAGAGCCAGTGAGGAATTTGGCTTAGGACCACAAAGGGTTGTTTGTGGGGAGCCATAATACCCTCTGTTTTACAGTAAGAAAACATCAGACTTCTGTTAGTCTTTGTTGCTCCAGAAACCATGTTGTCTGCCCTGGTTTGCCAGCTGGTGAGCCCTTCAGAAGAGTACATACGTAGATTCTGAAACAGAAGATTTTAGAATTAAAACTGTGATAAACTGATTTATTTCCAACTATTTTATTATTAGGAATTTTAAAACTAGTGCTGATTTAAATAGAAGGGAGAAGGTAATCCTAACATATTGCTCAAAGTCATGGGAAATTATCAGTTTAAATCCATAGACTCTAATGAAACTTGGCTGGTAAATCCCTAAAAAGCCCATAGGTTTAATACAAAAGATTCTGAAACCTCTTTTTAAATAATTAGCTTTCAGATGTTTTCCATCTATAGTTAAGTGCGGTTCTGATTGTTTTTTTTAAATGGCCTGGTCCAAGCCAGCTAGTGAGTCTGCTTACCTGGATGTGTTTCTGCAGAAGTTTAGAAAGAGCTGGCAATAGTAATGCCATATTATAAGCCTTAAGGACACTGAAGTCATTAAGGTTCCCATTAGTTCCCGAAGTCATTAAGGTTTGGCTACAACAAATATTAGTGATGGGAAGCTTTTCCATAGACTTTTATTAAGATTTCTGTATAATTAGTGCTAAAAACTTGGGTGAAACTCCTAAGTGTTAACAAGAAATTGCATGTAATGTTTAATAAATAAATAAAATGGTGTGGTCCTGAACAGGCTGACAGCTCCTGGAACTGGCTCATAGTGGGTGCTCCTCCCATTGAATTGTCATTGAAAATGTGTAAGGTTTTGGGGGTAACATCAAGACCAGTGTCCGTAGTATCTAGTCTTTTGATGTGAAGGTTAGATGGCAACTTGGGGTCTTGTCTTAGCAGAGAAGAGAATATGTGTTTTAAGCATTTTTGAGAATATGTGTTTAAGAGTGTTTTAAGCATGTTAATTTTTTTTGAAACTTTGTAGCTGATACTCCCCCACCTGCCTACTTGCCTCCCGAGGACCCCATGACCCAGGATGGCTCTCAACCAATGGACACAAATATGATGGCGCCTTCCCTGCCCTCAGAAATCAACAGAGGAGGTAAAATGAGTAGCTGGTTACTCTCCTTTTACAATCCAAAGTCAATATGTTGCTTTCTCTCACAAAGTTTATTAATCTTTTAAAAAGATAGCTGCTAGAGAAAGGCAGAGCACAGGAAGAGAAGCTCGGTGGACAGAATTCTGTGGATAACACATATGTCTCTTATTTAAAGAGCAAACACTGACTTTTTGATTGAGGCCTGAGTGTGATTGTGCAGTTGTCTTTTTATCTCCAATACTGCATCGTTTAGAGCTGGTGATGAAAGGAATGCTTTTAAGTGGACAGAGGGGAGTTGAGCCCCAGTGGGCACAGCACCAGCTCCACAGGTGATGTTCAGAGTGGAAAGTTCTCATAATTGGCCTTCTGAAAGGTTTCTTTTGTGGTTAGAATCTATAGGCATAAACTCCATCTGTTTTCTAGACCTTATTTATGTCTCGCTGAAACCAAAACTAATAACATTTGCTTCTTTCTTGCTGAATTTATTTCTAACTTTATTACCCGAAAGACATTGAGGCACACCTTTTTCCTCTTCTCACCCTGAAGAACTCTAAGCAGAACTGAATGTTTTTTTCCTTCCTTAGTGAAGGGTGGGTCTTTAATTTCAGCTGTGAATTATTCATGGCAGTGACTGAGGGGATAGTGCCATCCTTCCTGCAGGTTGACAGTGGTGAGTAGGCTTAAGAGAGCAGAGCACAGGTAAATTAAGTATGATAGGACCCTGAGCATCTGTTAGAAGCCACAGCCACACTAGTGGAAAGAAAGAACCCTTCCCCAGTGGCCTCTCAGGAAGGGTTTCACTGGCACACCCACACACTCACATGCACAGATTGTTCAATCTGTGTAACATTTATGCAAATTGAAGTTAAAAATGCAACTTGATTGCTAGATATGTCTTATTGACACTTTTTAAATTAAAATAGATATCTCAGACTTCCTCAGAGTTGCAGGTATTTTTAAGTACTTAAAGTTTGATGATATCTGTATGATACTATGATGATAGCTATGTGTTGCTATGCATTTGTCCAAACCATCAGAATGAACAACACCAAGAGATAAGGGTGTAGCTAAGATAGAGCACTTGTCTAGATTATACAAGGCCCTGGGTTCCATCTCCAATACCACATACATCCCCATATAAATGTTAACTCTGGACGTTGAGTGATAATTATGTGTCATAGATTTATAGGTTATTACAAATATACCCCTCAATAGGGGTTATGGATAATATGGGAAGCTATGCCTAGGGTTGGGGACATATTGAAAATCTATTGGCCTTGTACTCAACTTTTCTGTGAACCTAAAACTGCTCTAAAAAGTAAGATTTATTTTTAAAAAGTCGAACTCAAAGAACCTTTCTTAGATGTGCAATGTAATAAATTGGGATGTACAACTTCTAAGCAGTTAAATTTTTAAAATCACTTTCTTTTTTTATTGATTCTGTGTTTTATGGTACCTGATCATCTCTAGGACATCCTATCAAACATATAACTATAAGTCAACAAATAAACACTCTGATTTGAAAAATAATCCCTCTCGCACACATTTTTGGAATTTAGAGAACAGGATAGAAGGAGAGAATGGACAGAGTAGTACACACTGATAAGACCCTGTGGACCCTGTGCCCATTGTGGTTAAGTCTAACATGTTGATTTCAGGAAATAGACACAGATTTAAGAATGTTCCTGTTATATAACTTTAACTTTTTTCCCCATTGGAATAAGTCTACAATCATTTAATATTTTCATAAGGAAGGGGATGTTGGGTCTTGTTCTTATTGTCCTTGTTGGTGACTTCCCAAGAGCAGGGGTCAGCAGACTAGAGCCCACATCCTATTGAGTCTGCTCCTGTTTTTGTAAACTAAGCTTTATTGGAGCATAGCCGTGCCAGTCATTACCTGTTATCTCTGACTGCCTTTGCTCCACAAGGGCAGAATGGGATAGTTCTAATAAAGATTGTATGGCTCACGAAATATTCTGGCATTTTTTAAAAATATTTTTTTAGTTGTAGATGGACACAATATCTGTATTTTATTTATTTATTTTTATGTGGTGCTAAGGATTGAACCCAGTGCCTCATGCATGTGAGGCAAGTGCTGTTTCACTGAGCTACAGCCCCAGCCCTATCATGCCATTTTTTATAGAAAAAGAATTGCATCAGTGTCTGGTCTACTTGAATAGTATTTTCAACAATCCTGGAAGCTGATAAAAGACCTATATGAATGACATTGGAGCCGTCTTTAAGATTGGGCACTTGTAAATCACTAAAATTTTGCTCCATGAGCTTAAGCAAATTGACATGGCAGAGTTGCTTAGAAAACAAGGAAAATAGTATATATTTTCAGCTGAAATATGTAAGTATATAAAGCAACTAATGTGTGGGATTTTTTAGTGATCATTTTCTTTGTTTTCTTTACCAAAGTCAAAAATAAAGTGCGTTTTAATATGTGTAAAGGCTGATAGTAAGAACACAGAGGTTCTTCTCCCTTAACAGTTATAGCCCATGCCTCTGATGTGGATTTTCTTTCAATTTTTTTATGATTGCACACCCAAGACTTCATAAACCTCAGATCATTATTTATTGGTATGCTGGAAATACTATGGTTTTGTATTCCTGGAATCTCTAAAGCAGTTGTACAAGAGGTTTTACTACAGAAGGAACTTATCTTTAAAACCTTTTAGTTGCAAGTGTTTAGAAGTGTGTTCTGTTGGGAGACTTGTTAGTCTTAGGAGATTTGACTTAACAAGCTGCATCCTGTCAGTAAAGTTGGGTAATTTCCATTGTTGGCCCATTCTGGGAATGGAGAGACAAAACACACCTGCTCTGCATGACTTAAAGCAAATATAAGGAAGTTAGCATGAAATCTGGATGAGAGAGATATGATTCATTGTGTAAGAATGGCCAGCTGGCAGGATTTCTTCCTGAGTTGGAGAACTGGAGCAAAACTGGAGCTGTGATCATTATTGGCAACTTAATACGAAATAAAGTCACTTCTTATCAATAATTAAAAACTGATTTTCATTCCTTTAAAAAGCATAGGTAGAAAAGGCTTTGCCAAAAGTGAGCCCTTTGTATGCGGCACTCTTGGCATAACTCCGGGCCTCTGCTGTTCTTTCCCACTTGTTTTTTTCACTGGCCTCTTGTTTTACTTCTTTAGATGGGGAGCCAGGGTCTGTGGTAGGGTGATTTCCATTTCTGCATATTAAAGAGCAAGTAGCATTTTGTTAGTATTCAGCAGATGCTGTCTCTGGGCTTGCTCTCTGATAGTAATTGTAGGAAATTGTTTTCCTTTTAAAGGAGAATGTCACACTTCGTAAGAAGTACCTGCTTTAGACATCAGAGAAAACCTATAACCGCAGTTGCTCTTCCATGATCCTGAGCTAGTTTTTGGGATGCAGTTTCAGTTTTTGAGAGCCCAAGGCACAAACTTCAGTTGATGGAACCTTTTCTTTTTTACAGATGTTCAGGCAGTTGCTTATGAGGAACCAAAACACTGGTGCTCTATTGTCTACTATGAGCTCAACAATCGAGTAGGTGAAGCGTTCCATGCCTCCTCCACAAGTGTGTTGGTGGATGGTTTCACTGATCCTTCCAACAATAAGAACCGTTTCTGCCTTGGGCTGCTCTCCAATGTTAACCGGAATTCCACTATTGAAAACACCAGGCGGCATATTGGAAAAGGTGAGTCTTCACTTGAACCCTTCAGATGTTTATCTTTCCTATCGCTGTTCTCCCAGAGGAGACTTGGTCATTCATTCCTGTAGCAAACACAGGGTCATGTTCAGTTGCTGCAGTTTGAAGTATTTTTAAATTTTGTATTATCTAGAAGTTCTTCCATTTAAACACTATGTGGTCTCCTGACTGCCATTTTATTAATGTGAATTAGCCAGAATCATGATTTGCTATTTTAGGGCACTGCTCTATCTTTTTTTGCTGTAGAATAAAATATCTTTTTAATAGACTCAATTATTTAGTGGTGATACGAGTAAAATAGTTCTGTAACTTTTAGATATATGATAAGATTAAGAGAATGAGTGTGTGGCTATTTGGGGAGCTTGGTTTTCACTGTGGAGTAAGGGACACACAAACATGAAGGAGGGCAAGAGATTAATTATGAGGTAGATGGAGGCATCAGTGTGTAATCATAACTTTAATAATATATACTTAGACGTGCATGCTTGTGTTTATTCTCGTGTGTATGGAAATCTATGTATGTGTGACTGTACATGCATGTGGTTTCTGATGTGTGTGCCGGGAGGGCCAAGAAACAGAGACATCCAGTAGCAACAAGTGCATCTCTAGCCCCGACTGCAACCTCTGTCGCCATTTCCCACCAAGAGGAACTGGGGCTCCTTGGAAGAATAGCCAGCATCTCATTATGGCAGAAAGTAAAGAATGCTTATGGGGCATGTCACAGGAGCCAACTCAAAGGGGCTTCCACAATTCCCAGTGTGAGCACAAAAAATAGTTGTCCCTTGGTGTATCTTGTTCAGGATCCTCGAGGGTACTAAAACCCTTGGGTGCTCAGTTTTCTTGTATAGGTTGGTGTACTAGTGTTTATAACCTGTGCAATCCTCCTATATACTTTAAACCAAATGCAATATAATGCTGTTTAAGTAGCTGTTATGCTGTGTTGCTCAGGAAATCATGACAAGAAAGGAAAGTCTGAACATGTTCAGTACAGATGCAGTTTTTTAAAGAATATTTTTCAATCTGTGAATTTAGATCCTATAGATACCTGGGGGCAAATATAATTAGGTACACTAATTAATTTTAAACCGCTCAAGAACAACACTAACATATGTCCTTGTCAACAATAAATAGATGTACTAGTGAATTAGGAAGACTGATTGGTATAGAACAAGAGCTAGAGTTGGAGAAACAACAGTTTGCAAGCATCCTAGTAAGGATCAAGCTCCTTGATGAATACCAAATACGAAGAGAATTTTTTTATAAGAATCAGGATATTTGCATGGTCTTCAGGTGTTTCCCCACAAACTACCTATTAGTCACAAAGGACACTAGAAGGCAGTAATTACAAAGTAGAAAAACTGTATAATTTGTTTTTATAATTACATAATTGATCCCCCATCTTGACTGGGGGATCAACATTGTCATCAGCAGTAAAGACAGCGAATCCATATACCTCCAGATGTGATACCCTGATAAGGATATAGGATCGCCCGTGCAGGATTCCAGCTGTTAATGCAAACCTGAGCCCCATCCTGTGGAAACATCAGGCAAATCCAAAATGATGAGCATTCTGTATTTAAGAGAGTAAAGAGTGACTTTATTCTCCCAAAATATTTGTCAAAAAAAAAAAAAAACAAGAAAAGCTAGAAGTGTTCCAGATTAAAAGACGTTAAGGAGCTGGGGTCGTGGTTCAGTGGTAGAGTGCTTGCCTAGCATGTGTGAGGCACTGGGTTCAATTCTCACCACTTATTTATTTATATAAATAAATTAACAAAATAAAGGCCCATCAACCTCTAAAAGACATGACAAGCTATATATAATATCTGACAGTAGATATGATCCTGTACTGGACAGGGGGAAAATTATTATAAATGATATTATTGAGAGAACAATTCTGGAATAAGAATGGTAGATTAAAGTTTCATATCAATGTTAAATTCACTGACTTTGCTGAGGATTGTGTGGAACCATCTTGCCTGGGAAATACATACTTAAGTACTTAAGAGTAAAGGACTGTGATGCAATAGTTGAGAAAGACATTATGTACATATGAAGATATCTGTCTTCTCTCCATCTGGCTGTATCTGAAGCAACTCTGTGTCAGAATACATAAGGGGTGTGTGTGTGTGTCTGTGTGTGTGTGTGTGTGTGTGTGTGTGTGTGTGTACAGTGGGGAGGGAGAGTACTAACAATAAAGCAGATGTAGCAGATTGTCAATGTAGGTTAGTCTGGGTGATGGGTATACGGTTGCTCTTTGTTATCTTTTTCAGACTTCTCTATAAATTTGAAATTATTTTCAGAGTTAAATGTTTAAAAAGAACGACCTGTGAAATTTAAAATAGTGGACCAGATAGATTATTTAATGGGTATTTGAAAAGCATTTGAGACAAAGTTTTAACATTCTAGAGGCGGTGAAACCCAGCAATCCTTAAATAGGAATTGATAGATATTTCCTTAATATGATTAAAAGGGGAAAAAATAAAAACTAAATACATTTAAGGATGAAATGCTAGAAATTAGGTTCATAACATACACAGATAACTTTGTATGGTCTGTAAACCCCTGTAATTTATGTATAAACACATTCTGCATTTGGAATGGAAGGACTTACTTTTCATTAAATTCTAAGGTGACTATTTCCCCAAAGTAGTAAAAAGCCAGTGTACAATTGCCTTTCAGAATATTAGGAAGAAAATAAGGATTCTGGGAATGCCATTTCTTAAAATTGTTCCAGATGCTCTGAGTAGTGTGCTTACAATTTCAGATGATGGAAGCTTAAGCCAAGATTATCATGATTTGCAGATGATATGAGTGATTTAGATAACACTCGTGAGATACATTCTTGAAATGAAACTGGTAGGCCAAAAGCTCTTGATGTATTTTATCAGAAAGCTTAATATTAATTCACAGCCCTGCCAGAAGCACACTAGCCTTCTCCCTCACCTGTGCCCACACTGTGGGTGAGCACTGTTCACCTGGAAGCCCCTGGAGAACCTTGTTGTTGTTGTTGTTGTTGTGGTTGTTAGTCTCCCTTCATCTGGCAATAGCCCGTTAAAAAATATAAGGGAGGGGAAAGTCCCAGTCCTATAGCAACAGAAAACATAAATTTCTTGGAAATAATCTGAACTGTAGCAAGATTATATAAAGCTACTAAAACTGGACTGAGAGAGAAAGAAAATTTGAATTAATAGGCAGTCTTTGTTCCTTAAAGGGAAGGCTTAATATTGTGAAAGCATTTTAGGATATTTGCTCTTTCTAACTTAATTGTAGTTTAAAGCAAAAAGTTAAACTACAATGTGATGTTTTCTGAGATTTGAGTAATATATTCTGAGTATTACCTGGATGAATAAACAAAAGAGAGTATCTAAAAGATTTAATGGAAAAGAAAAAACTGTTGACATTAGGGTTAATAAAATGTTACAAAACAACAAGTAAATCAAAAACAAAACAGGAGAATAAACTCAGACTGCATAAAAATTTAAGGTTGTTAAGAAGCATAGCAAATCAGGAGAGTCTTTTAATAGTCCTCAATAACACAGTCAGCTGTTGTGAAGTGGGGAGGATCCTGGCCTCATATCATATAAGTGAATGGATTTTTGAACATTTTTTTCAAAGGCAAACAATTAAAAAGCTAGAGTGAAATATATTTGATCAGAGATGTAAAAAAAAATTCTGAGCATAAAAAAGTAACAAAAAGAGACTTAAAAGGATTTCAGACTTCTTTAGGTTAAAATATATCATGAACCAAATTAAAAGACAAAGAACAGGGAAATAATAAACAAATTATTTACATCCTATCTCTATATGCACAGCTCATAAAAAAATAATCAGAAAGCCAGAACCACAGTAGGATAAGGGAGGAACACGAACAGTGAGTTCAGGATAGAAACCCAGATGGCGAATGGACTTGGAGAGTGTATCCAGCCTTACACACAGATTAAGACAGCTATGTTATTTTTCAGCTATACATTAGAAAAATTTTGCTTTTGTTTAAGCTCATATTCAGTTCTGCCTGGGTCAAATGAGGAAGGCACTTACACACTACTGGTGAGGGTGTCAATTGATCCGAGCATTCTGGAAAGTCATTTGGCAAAGTGAGTCAAAGCCTTCGATCTAGTGCTTTAACTTCCAGGAATCTCTCCTAAGGATATTATTAAAAATTGTCCAGAGACATTTATCATGGCATTGTTATAACAGCAGAAAATCAGCATCAACACAATGGTCTGCTAATGGGAGAACTGTAAAATAAATGGTTAGATCCATATAGTCATGGACGCATTTTAAATGTTTACAAAGAAAGCTTAATGATGCCCTAAACTGAATATGGTGTTTCAGACTATTAACAATTATTTCCTCTGTGTTGCTAAGGGAGTGACATTTTTTGCTTCTTTATATTTTTTGTTTACTTTCTAAATTTTATATGGTTAAATTTATCATTTTTCCATCAGGGATGAAAGTCTTTCTGTGAAGAAGTTTTTACTGTATCAGGTGAAAGATGGGTTTCTGCCTCAGCAGCTATTTAATTGTTAGAGAAGTCTTCTGCCTTGGGTGCACATGTAAACACAACACTTCATATTTCAGATGGGACAGCCACATTAGCAGTGATTAAGCCATGCAGCTACCTGTAAGATGGATCATTTAAAGCCATACGGGCTGTGACTGCTAGGTGGCCTGTATAATCTCCCTTAATGGCATGGGACTTTGTCAGAGGGGCCCTTTCCCCTTTTTCCTTCTTTTAAAGACTGACTAGTGTCGATTTCCTACACTTCTAGAACTCTGGGTCGGTCTCACAGGAAGAAGTTTGCAGCAGGTGGTAGGTTAGTGAGCTATTGTTTCATAAAGTATGACATTTTTTTAGTTTAAAAATTTGTTTTACTAGACCTTGAATCTCAGTTCTCAGCAAAGCTTCTTCTACCTCTAGTTTTCTAGTTCTACTTTTCTTGGTCCCCCTTCTCTGCTGAAGAATAAATCCAAGAGACATATTATGAATGCATAGAAGATACCACAACAAAGCCCAAGTTTTATCATACAATATTTTTAGAGTAAGAATACATGTTTAGCCATGGCTAAATAAGGCATTAATTACTTATCAAAAATGAACTGTGCACAATGGCACATGCCTGTTATCCCAGTGACTTGGGAGGCTGGGACACAAAGATCACAAGTTCAAGGCTGGCTCCAGCAGCTTAACAAGGCCCAATGCCATTTAGTGAGATCTGTCTCAAAAAGGGCTGAGGATGTGTCTCAGTGATAAAGCACCTTGAGTTCAATCCCCAGTACCAAAAAAATAAACATGAATTTTTATACTTTGTTATTATTTTCAAGACTTGTTCTGTTATTCCCTAGAAACCTCCTGGATGTGCTTATTGATGTAAGGATATTGTATTCACATATGGATATTTTTTTAACTAAGAGTCTGTCAGTTGTGCAGGACTTAGAGAATATCTGCCTATGTTGCCAAAGTTGAAATCATATAAATGTGCATTTTTATGTTGAGGTTGCACAGGTGCCTTTCAGCTGTAAAACGATGGCAGTAACTAAATGGTTATCTTCCCACAGGAGTGCATCTTTACTATGTTGGAGGGGAGGTGTATGCCGAATGCCTCAGTGACAGTAGCATCTTCGTGCAAAGTCGGAACTGCAACTACCATCATGGATTTCACCCCACGACTGTTTGCAAGATCCCTAGTGGGTGTAGCTTGAAAATTTTTAACAACCAAGAATTTGCTCAGTTGTTGGCACAGTCTGTGAACCATGGTTTCGAGACCGTCTACGAGCTCACAAAAATGTGTACTATACGCATGAGCTTTGTGAAGGTGAGTGAGCTCCAATTGCTCTAGGCTGGGCTTAATACATTTTGCTGTGCCTTGTTGAAGTGTATCAGTCTACATCCACTTGATACATTTCAGTCATAGCAGACTTACTATCTAGGGATTTTTAAACCTTAACCAGCATGTGAATTTCAAAGAAAATATTAGGACATAGGAGTGCTTGTGTAAATGTCAGTTGCAGTAGCCTTCAGTAGCCTCTTCCTTATACAAATTTAGCTGTTTTAGCTACTTTTATGATAGTAACACTTGTTACTTTTGGTTCAATGATAAGTGCGTGATCTTTTTGTAAAAATAAAAGTTCATCACACTGGATTTTTCTTTTCTTTCTTTCTTTTTTCTTTTTCTTTTTTTTTTTTTTTTGTGTTGGGATTGAACCCAGGACCTTGTGCATGCAAGGCAAGCACTCTACCAGCTGAGCTATATCCTCAGCCCTGGAAATTATTTTTGACTGGTCAGGTTTTTTTGTTGTTGTTTTAATGGTTCTAGTACATCTTGTACATTTCATATAGTTCAAAATTTATTAAGGCCCTTGTTCCAAGATAGATACCTTATTAGCTTTAAGTGCATTAGGTGTGTATTGTATGTTTGAAGAGAAGGTTAAAGACATGCTTGTACTAACTGGTCACTCTGTGCTGCCTCATCTTGTGCCTCTGAGAAATGAAAGTTTTTAAGATGCCATTGAAATGTAAAAAAAAAAAAAAAATGAATATCTGATTATATTTAGTGAATCAGTGACTTATTCTAGAAACTGACTGGCTTGTCTCTGATTTCTCAAAGATAAATTTTCATCCTGTATCACTCTGAGAAACACAACTAATTACAGACTTGGGTGAGGCCATCACCCTCTATGTCGTTTCTTCAGAAGCTCACCTAGCTAGTTATCAAACCGGTTTTGTAATGTATTTATTACTGAGGATAATTTTGGAACCTAATTTTGTTCATCATTCTTTAGATCAAATGTATTTTTTCCCAAATATCATTTTTTTCCTGTTTTGAGTTCTCTTAGCAGATTTTTGGTATGTTTTCTTATTGCTGCTTTTCTCAAAATGTAGTTCAGTGGTTCTTTGCAACGGAGCCCGGTACCTCTTTCATATTAAAAGAGGGTTTTGTTTTGTTTTGTTTTGTTTTACCCCTTTCAGAGTTTGACCTATTATCCATGTACATATGAGACTACAAAGACCATTTTCATTCATTTTTAATTCACTATTTAATTTTTGACTTAGCATTTTGACTCAGGTGATTTTTAAAATAAGGACATGACTTGCCTAAAGCATTTTTTTGTTTGTTTCTTTTTATTGGTTTGGAGGAAAGAACAGCCTGAAGAGATACAGGTTCTTCTTCTTCTAGTTGTCTTTGCCTTTTTTGTTTTAATTTTGGACAGGGTCTTGCTAAGTTGTCAAGACTGACCCTAAACTTGTGATCCTCCTACCTCAGGCTTCCAAGTTGCTCGGCTCACAGGTGTGTGCCACCTCACCTGGCCTCTAGTTGCTATTTTAACTGTGTGACTAAGGCGCATGGACTCCTTTGAGGGCCTCATGTTCCTCATCTGTAAAATGGGGGTGGGTGGGGCTGGGACTGTGGTGATCATTCTGTGATCCCTTGTGAGTTCATTACTACTGAAGGCCACTCTGGAAGGATTTATGGCTCTAACACTCCAATTAGTTGCCTCTTCTGATTCATTTCTTATTAATTACCCAATCATTTTAACTATTTCACTTTTATAGTTTCTTTTTTTTTTTTTACCATGAATAAACTTTTAAATTTTTTTTTAAATTTTTTTGTTTTAATTAGTTACACATGACAGTACAATGACCTTGACATATCATACATTTGAATCAGATGGGATATAATTTCTCATTTTTCTGAGTGTACAGGTTGCAGAATCACATTGGTCATGCAGTCACGTGATGGGAGGGAGGGGAGGGGAAGGGGGGAAAGGAAGGATAGCAGAATAAAATAGACATTATTATTGCTGGGTATATATCCATGACTGCACTTTTATAGTTTCAATAATGTACTTTTACACAAGAAAAAAACTTTTACACTAATAGAAGGTATTTATATCTGATTTCATTCTTTCAGCCAGAATTTTAGCAGTATTCCAGAGAAGGAATACAAAGATGAAAACAACCTACAATCTCTAGCTTTAGGATGCTTGTGGTCTCACACATGTAATTAATACAACATACGATGAGCACTAGCATGAAGGGGCTGACACCGTGTAATGGATATAGCTGGGAAGCTGGATTTAGAGAGTTGAGGATAAACAAATCTTAGTAAAAACTCTTGCTGAGTTTTTTTTTTTTGTAAGGGATTCTCATATATTAGCAACAAAAACATTGCAGATTATTTTTACAGCATTGTTCTTCATTATCACAATGACTGGACACTTCACCCTCTGCCACTCAGCATCTTGGAGAAATGCTGAGGAACATTAATATAACCAACATTAATAACCAATCTTGCACCATTTTTGCCATTTTAGGATGGTAATATAAAGCATATATTTCATAAATTATTTGCATCTTAAACTCCCCCATAGCTGAAAAATCCAGATCTGTTCAGCTGAACAAGTGTATATAGAGCTTCTGCTTTGTGCCAGTGACTGTGCTGGATGTTGTCCCTGCCTTCTCAGAACCTGCTGTCTGATGGAGGTAAACCGACACATTCCATTTAGCAATATATTAATGGAGGTTCAAGTTCATGTGTCTACGTACTATGTGCAGATAGAGTTCACATGTCACCACTGTCTCCTGAAAGTCTTCACACTCAGATGTACTTCTTGAAACTGCTAGAGTAGATAGGTAACAGAGAGAGCGTGCCAGCCTTCTGTGGTACACCTCAGGGAACAGGGATCAACCAGAACTTCATGTTCTGCTATCCACTCTTGCCAACAAGTTTTTGAGCTCTGAAGTGGCAGTATTACTCTGCTCTTTATCTTCTATGGAACTTTAGGGTCCTGATTCAGTAATTTTGAAGATGTCTGCCAAGCTGCCTTCTTATACAAATGAATAATTAAATGCTGACTTCAGGCAGTGGCTAGGTATCAGTCATAACTTTGGGGATACTTACATGCACTCCTGCCAGTTTTGCTTAGAGATCGAAAGATCAAGAGGTCCGTGTTGATAGGCAGACCTTAGGTGGCTGAACAGGGAAGAAAGGGTATCAATGTCCAAAGAAGCCTTTTCCTTATTTTATTGATGATAAAGTGAGAATTTAATAATAGCTATTACCTTACTATCAGAAGGGAATGGGAAATGAATATGAAAGTTAAAAAGTATGTGGGCCAATAATTCTTGTTGTTTTGTTTTGTTTTTTAATATTTTTTAGTTGTCAGTGGACCCTTATTTTATTTATTTATATGTGGTGCTGGGAATCAAAACCAGTGCCTCACTGTTAGGCAAGTGCTCTACCACTGAGCCCCAGCTCCAGCCCCAGCCCCAGCCCCAAGACCAGTAATTCTTTAACCTGGAGTCCATGGATGGACTCCAGTGGCCAGCACCATTTCCCGCAGTTTGCCTGCCAGATCGCGTGTATGTGCGCACTCTTCTGGGAACTGTCTGTCGCTTCAGTCAGAGTCCCTGATTAGGTGAACTCCTTTTACTTAATAAGTTGAACACTGCATTAAACAAGTTAAATGACCCTGCTTTGTTTTTTCCAGGGCTGGGGAGCAGAATACCACCGCCAGGATGTTACTAGCACCCCCTGCTGGATTGAGATACATCTGCACGGTCCCCTCCAGTGGCTGGATAAAGTTCTCACCCAGATGGGTTCACCTCATAATCCTATTTCATCAGTGTCTTAAATGGCCTCAGGCTTCTGCCTCTTGAAAACTATTGAGCCTTGCATGTACTTGAAGGATGGATGAGTCAGACCCAATGGAGAGCTGACAAAGGAGCCTTGATAATACTTGACCTCTGTGACCAACTGTTGGATTCAGAAATTTGAAAACCCTTGGTAACATACTATTGATATCAAGAACCTGTCTAGTTTACATTGTAACATTCTCTTGTAAAATCAACTAAAATGCAGACTTTTAGCAGGACTCTGTGTATAGTTAAAGAAGAGATGGCCAAGCCAGGGACAAATTATCTATTAGAAAAAATGGTCCTAAGAGATTCTTTTGTGTTTGGCACTTTAGGGTCATCGTTTGGCAGAAGTTTAGCATTAATGGTTAGTCTTTCTGAAGTGTGTTTTTATCAGGTTTAGAGCCCATGTTGAATCTTCTTTTCATGGGTTTTCATAATTTTTAAAACTATTTGTTTAGTAATGGTTTTTGTTTGTTTTTAAGTAAAGATTAATCTTTATGATATACATAGTAATCTTTCTAAAATTGTATGCTGACCATACTGCTGTCAGAATAATGTTAGGCATATGCTCTTTGCTAAATATGTATGTACAGAATATTTGAAAGTTAAGAATTGATTAGACTAGTGAATTTAGGAGTATTTGAGGGGGTGGGGGGAGGGGGGAAATGACAATTGCAAATGTAGAATATACTGTAAAAATTCAGTTTGTCGCCTTAAAGAAACGAACTGATGTCTGAATTTTGCTGTGTTTCAATTTTTTAGAGATTTTTATCTTCTTTTTTTTTTTTTCTTTCTTCTCTCCATCCTTTCCCAAAAAAGCAGTTATGCAGCTGGTTAATTCATATAACTGTGAGAGCAAATGAATAATTCCTGCTATTCTGAAATCGACTGCCTATGTATTTCAATACCAATTGTATGGAGTGCTTGAATTTATTAAGCAGTTTTTATGGAGTTTACAGTACAGAAACAGGCTTTAATTTTCAAATGAATTATTTGCCAAACCTAGTAACTGTTAAATATTTGGAGGATTTAAAGAACATCCCTGTTTAAATCCATTTCAAACTTTTTTAATTTTTTTGTACTACGTTTGGTTTTATTTTCTTCTGTTATCTTTTATATTCACTTATGCTCTCGTACATTGAGTACTTTTATTCCAAAACTAGTGGGTTTTCTCTACTGGAAATTTTAAATAAACCTGTCATTATTGCTTACTTTGGTTAAAAATTGGTGAATTTCATTCTTTACATATCAGATTTTAGGGTAAGATTTGTTTTTCTTTTGAAAGTTTTTTTCCTCAGATATCCTCTGCCAAATAAAACAGGTGAACCAAATAACTAATAAAGAGGAATCGGGTAGAGAGCAAGGTCCCTTTAAGTCAGAAAAGAAAGGACAGGTAGAACTCAAAAATTTGAGGAAAACCTAGCAGAATCTAAGTGTACACATCCTTCAATGTGCAGAAATACAGCACCAACAATTATTGGTTGGTGCCGTTCAGTCACCTGAAAGAACCAGTTTCCAACTCAGATGAAACTAAGGGTGACTGGAGGGTGTTATTGGGGGGCGGCGGGTGGTGCTGAGAACTCAGCGCAACAAGAGAAATTGCTTTTGCAGTTCTCTTGGGTTTGGGTATGATTCCAAACCCCTCCCAAAGGAAAAAAAGAGAATGATTTTGTCCATAAGGGACCCAAATTTTGAGGACTTTTACATGCTTTCCTGACCAAATAGATGCCACTCTTTCTCCTTCACATTTTATTTCTTTCCTGGAGGTGTACCAGACCTAAAATTTTAAGATTCTTTCTCTTCCCATTTTAAACCCAGCTTAAAAGAAAAAAAAATGCTGCCCCCCTCCCCACCACCAGAAAGCAATATTCCTACACTATGATCAAGAAAAAATTCCCACTTCTTATTGTCGTCTGCCAAATCACCAGAGTACAAGTAGAGAAAGCCCTGGCTAGAAGACATATGTTATAACAAATTCATGCCCATCTTTGCTGATCCAACTTCTGTGAACCTGTTTTCTCATTTGTTAAGCAGAGATAATGTAGTTATGTTCTTATCATAAAATTGAGATGAGGATCATTCAGATAAAAATATGTATGAAAATATCTTAGAAATATAACTGCCAAGCCGGGCATGGTGGCACACACCTGTAATTCCAGCATCTTGAGAGGCTGAGGCAGGAGGATCAAAAGTTCAAGGCCAGCCTGGGCAACTTAATGAGATCCTGTTTCAAAACTTAAAAAGGACTGGGGATGTAGCTCAGCAATAGAGCACCACTGGTTTCAATCCTGGCACCAAAATTAAAAAAAAAAAAAAAATGGAAGGCCTTAAAACTACAGCCTCACTCTGTTATTTAATAGAATTTGATATCCAGCAAGTTTCTTTCTGCACCTGTTTTCTTGTCTGTAAAATGGAAGCAAAAAGCCTATTTAATGGAGTTATCATAAAGATTAAATCCATCCATGCAGAGCACTTAGAACCCCTCAGTAAATGATTGTACGGCTCATTAAATCGGGGAACTCCTGACCCCAGGAGCTTACGAAAGGAAGGAAGAAAACAGGCGATTGCAGGGTGCCCACTGTGCTGCAGGCCCTGAGCGACGGGTTTCTAAGCACTGTCTCGCACCCTCACAAGAATACGAGACACTACGCTCATGTCAACAACACCTCTGTCCTGCTGCCAAGCAACCTGCACTCTGATGAGGAAGGCAGGCAAGAGAATGATGTTCCAGTGCCATGATAGGGCCACTGAGGGTGCATAACCCAGATGGGAAGAGCAACTCGCCAGGGCTAACTGGGTATTGTGCAGGAGAAATGTCTACCAGGCAGAAAAGGAAAAGGCCCAACCAGGAGACTTGGGCGCAGTTGGGTAATTCAGTGTAGCTGGAGGCGCAGGGCAGTTGGGAAGAAGCCTGGTCCTTAGGGATCTTGTGTAGGTTATACTAAGGGTTTGGATTTTTTATTTTCCCCTGTGATTTTAGCTCCTAGATGGTAGAGACTAAACCGACCAGGGCCCAGGAGAGGACCTCTAGTGAAGCTGTCACATAAAAGGCAGGAAGGATCTGACAGCAGGAAAGAGTCGTGGTAGACGCCAAGGCAAGAGTTAGTTGCAACAGGAAGGTTTGATCAGCAACACGACCAGCACAAGAGAGAAGAATAAATTTAGGAAAGTTTTTTAACTGAATAACTAGGAAGTTTTTAAGGACTGTTAAAAATTTTGAGGGGTGGTTCACAAAGGCAAATAACAAGGGGTTGAAAGTATGACTAAAAGAAATGGAAGCAGAGTACTTTGATCTAGAAGTTTATTGGTGAGAAGAAGATGGAGGATACTCTGTGTAGCTGGAGAGATGCGTGGAGGGGAAGGAAGGTCGTGTTAGAACCAGGAGCTGTGAACACCCCTGTACCCACTGGTAACAAGCTGAAGCACCATCAAGCATCTGTGAGTGCAGCTAAGCTCAGGTGATGGGCCTTGAAGTGGATCCAGTCCCCAGAGTTCTGTAGGCTGGAATTGGGGATCAGAGAAGAAGAAAATGTGTTCAAGTCCCTAGGGCTGAGGACTGACAATGTAGTCCTGGGGAACACTAATGCCCGTCATTGCAATGGTGACCCATTGGTCTAGGCTAAGAATCAAAGTAGGGACACCAAGGCAGAAGGGAGAGCAAAGGGCACATTCACTGTGAACAGCCACAGCCTTCCACTGGGAAATCTGAGATTGCAGAAACCTCAAAGGTGATCAGTTGTAAACCAAACCTTCACCAGGGGTGCTGGTTATGGAGCAGAGTTGTAAAAGTCACTGGAGGAGAGAAAACTCAAGGAACCAAGAGGGTGGCTGGGAGTAGAGTGTTGATTTTCATTAGTGCACCACTAGATGGCGCCTAGGCAGTCAGTAAAGAAGAATGAATGAATGAATGGATGAATGAATGAAATGGTGTAGCCTCATAGACACTGAAGCCATCGAGGGTCATACAGAATCATACAGAAGACATTGCAAAGGTTACAGTAGAAGTGGGGCAAGGGAGGGACAGCACCACAGTAATGAACAGACAAAAATTAAGTCACCCCAGGATCCTGAAGAACTTGGGTCTGAAGAGGAAGCCCGGGAGAGTCAGTAACAGCCATCAATCCATCCTGAGGTCGGACAGAGGGCAATGGGAAATTCCTTCATTGATCTCCTATCATCGGTGTCTTTTAAAAATTCCCTATACCCAAGGATTTGGGAGGATTTCTGAAGAATTTCTAGTTCAGTTCACTGAGATTTTAATACTCTTAAATGAAAGGAAGTCAAGAAAGGAAACAGGTGTGGGGAGGGGGGAATGAGCTGGATGAAGCTCACTAATGAAGAATTCCCAGGGTAGGGCGAAGGGTGCGGTTCAGAGGTAGAGCACTCACGTGAGGTCCTGGGTTCCCGCCAGAACCTCAGAACAAAGCAAACCAAAGCCCTCCTTAGTTGCTTCCCCAGATATGACATGTCCATAGTGATACCCAGAATAAGAACACCCAGCAAGAGGGATGAGTGGAAGACAGAGCTTCCAGTACAGCAGCAGGAGAGACATGGAGACAGCAGACAGGCCTTTCCAGTTTAGCAGCTCTGGGATCAGGGACAGACCCCTGCTCCTCCAAAGCTCACTGGGTCTCTAGCAGCTGTTGAAAAAACATAGATGTCTGAAAAGCTAGTTGCCCATCGCCAGCTCCAGGGACCACGGCCTTGGAATATTTGGTATTTCTTGGGAGGTATAATACCAGTAGAGTCTCTTAGAACCATAGGTATTTCTTAAAACACTGTGTTTTATTTATTGCCTGCATTTTCTTCTACTAGCAGGACTTAGTAAACAAATGGTCAAGTGCCTTACAAATGTACCACGTTCAGGTCACATTACCATGCCCTGTCACTGGACACTGAAGAAGGACTGCTCACCACAAGGTGAATTGGCTTCTTTCTTTCATAATCATCTGTTTCTTCTGGGATAATTGGATTGTATGAACTATGGGCGGTTTTCTACAAAGGTCACTATTTTACTTTGTCTTATAAGTGTGTACCAGGTACAGTTTTGTAACTCTTAAGTGGCTTTGAAGGCCGCAGTTGCCTGAAGGAAACCTGTGGCCTACAGGCTCCAAGCCCTGGAACTGAAGAATCTCTTTGGAGATCTGAAATCTCAGTGTTAGCAACAGAATAGGAAAGGCCATAATCCATCCAGCCTGAATGTAGCATGGTAATTCAAAGGCAGGGGCCTGTTAGGGTTAAAAGCTTGGGAGTGATTTTCCTAAGGAATACTTTGTGAAAAGCCGACAATCTGTTAAAAAAAAAAAAAAACAACAACTTGATCCAAAAGACAAAGTGTCACAGCTCTCTTTATTCCCACAGAGTAAGTTTCAAAAACAAAAGAGGGGGATACAAAAGAAAAGAAGTTGCATTGGAGCTGGCCGTGATGAGAACATTTCATCTTTCCCCTGGTCTTAGGTCAGATGCAGACTGAAGGATATGCACCTACCCCTGGGTTGGATTGATAATTACGTTGCAGATGTGATGATTCAGAGCAGGCACTTGAATTATAGACACGAGCTTTTTAACACCAGTTCTACCACTTTCTAACTTCACCATCTCAGGCAAGTGAATTAAAGCCTGTGCTTCGGCCTCATTATCTGTAAAACAGAAAAATAGCAGTCACCCTTTCATGGGTCATTGTGCAGCTGGACCGGTGTGATGCACATGGAATACCTGGCCACAAGCCACATGGTGAGCGCTAATAGTGGTTTGGCTGCAGTTGGTGACAATGACCTCGAGGCCTACTGAGCACTCAGTAGATGGTGGTGCTGGGTTCTCAGTATCCATGGGACATAGTAGATGATTTGGAACACAGCCCCCTGCCCCCTGCAACTTTCTAAATTGCAACAATAGCAGTAAAAAGTGTTATTTATTATGAAGGGAAGGAGAAAAACACACAGGGCTTTGCTAAATAATTGTTCTTTCAGGGTGCTTATAAATATTTCCATTTACACTACTCCCTACAGCATCTCTAACTTACAGACCAGCTGCTTGTAGGACATCTTTTACTCTTGTGGTGTCCAATACTGAAATAATTTCTTGGTTCAGGGTGGAGCTCGGTGGTAAAGCACTTTCCTGGCATGTGCCAGTCCCTGAGTTCCATCCCCCAGTTCCACAAAAACAAAACAAAAGAAGAAAGTAAAACAGAAAAGAAAAATCCCAGAATTAT